CTAGATTATATTTTCAGAGCTCAGGAATCTTTATTCTCTACCCCTTACTAGTAGTATAATATATAGTATAACTTTAAGAGAATCTATATATACCAGGCTGAGAAGGGGTTATTAGTTATAAATATACTTTAGAGCTAATATAACTATTAGCTTACCTTTATAAAAAGAGCCTTTTTATCCCTTCCTCAGATTTATTTTCCTATTTCTTTTCTTTTTTTCCTATTAGTACCGAGTTTACTAGGTCTGCAGGCTTACTATCCTAATCCCTATCCTGTATATATAAGTATATATTACCATCACCAAATCCGTTGGGAATATAGCTATTGGCGATAGGGTTATTTCCGTGAGCAGTGCAACATGGAATACCGCATAGGCCAGACTTGTGGCCTCATGCTGGTCTATGAGACTCGCTCTTGTACACCTAGACCCTAAAGTCATTTCAAGCTACCTGACTTAACTTTGTATCGATATTCGAATTGTATAGTGTTCTTGCATCTTCGCCTGCAGAAGCGCGCTCTTCTGGATTGACCTTTATCATTTCCCGAATGACTTTCATAATTGGGGCTGCTGCATCTGCCAAAACCATACTTCGGGCCTCCCTGAGGTTAGTTAGCCTGTTCGATTACTCACGGAACCCGTTCACATCCAATGTCCACAACATCGTGACGCAGAGTGACCAGACATCTACTTTGTGTGTCTGCTATTCTCCCTGAAACATCTCCGGAGCCATGTAAAGTGGGCTGCCCGCAAAAGTCGCCGCGAATCTGACCCGGTTGCTGTATCATAGGAGTAGACATGTTAGGGCAGGATTTGAAAATTCGATGTTCTGTCAGGACAGGCTTCATAGGGGCTTATATTTATAGACTTTTGTTATACTATTCAAAGATTGCTAAAGGCTAATGAATTTAGGAATAAATCTCTAGACTGAAAGTAGTAATTTTATATAGATTATCTAAGCTTTCCTATATAACTAATATAAGACCTGTGAACTCTATATAGTAAATTAAATATTATATTAGTATTAATATCTATATAAGTATTACTATCTAGATAATCTTATTCTTTATATTAATTATTATTTTTATTTAAATAAACTAATATTAGTTACTAATTACTATTTCCTTATAACTTAACTAATAATATTAAACTATATAGAAATAGAAATTTACTATTAAGTTCTTTTTATTCTATACTATTAGGGTTACTAACCTAATAATACTTTTCTAATTTCCTATATTACTATAAATAGGTAAACTTACTATTAATAGTAGCTTAAATTAATCTAATATAAACCTCTTGATTCTCTGATATATATAAGTAAGTTTAGGAATAATACTACTTCTTAATATTTATAGGTTCTTATCTATACTTCTTTATCTAAGGGATAATATATAGTATTATAGCTGATTTTCGCTTTCTTAAGAAGTTAGGATAATTAATTTAATCTTTTTTAGATAAGTCTAGATTAAAGTAAACTTTTTTAGATAACTTAATATTAGAGATCTAATCTATTTTCACCTTTATTCCAAGGAGGATATTAAAGACTATAGTATAATTAGCTTTAAGTTATTTAATTTCTAACTAATCTAGTATTCTATTAGTATATCTATTTAGGGGGTATACTATATTATTAATAGTATACTCTGCTGTATTATTAATAGTATCCTCTGTTAAGATTTACCCTATAGACTATAGGGTAGATCAGGTTACCCTATATCAGTTGATTAAATAATCTCAGATTAGTATAGGGTAAGGAGGAATAAAATAACTAACTTAGGGCTTTCCAAAGCTGGAAGCCCGCTAAAGCCACCGGCCCAACCCGCTGTAGCTGCCCGTTAGGGCAATTGCGTTAGCGGTCACAACCGCTGTAACGGCCGCTGTAGCAACCGTATTAGAGATCTCATATTACGCTGTAGTAGCTATATTAGCGGTCCTCGTGTCCGCTGTAGCAGCTGTATTAGCGGTCCTCGTGTCCGCTGTAGCGCTTGTATTAGCGGACCTCGTATCTACTGTATGAGAACCTTAGCACTTAGTTAGTAAACCTCGTAACCACTGTAGCAGCTGTATTAGCGGACTTCGTATCCGCTGTAGCACTTGCATTAGCAGACCTCGTATCCGCTGTACGAGAACCTTACAGCGGTTACGAGCCCGTATTACAGAAGGTAACGTATTATCTTCAGGGCTCTTAGAGCCCTGAAATACCTATAAGTACAGGGCTTCCTCCCTGCTAGATAGAGGTTCTTTAAGCTACCAATTCACTCTTTTATCTACCCTACAGTCTATCTTCTTAGCTACCCTGTAGCTGATAAAGCCTCTCTTTCTTACTCAGTAGGCTGCTTCTTCTACTATGCCTTTCGAAATAATCCCTTCAGTATTCCTCAGCCTACCCTATAGGCTATACCTACCCTAGACCCAGCTTACCCTACAGCTGGTCTACCCTATACTGGAGGCCTTAACCTTTTAAAATCCTCTGCTATATTATTAGCAGTATCCTCTACTATATTATTAATAGTATCCTCTACTATATTATTAATAGTATCCTCTACTATATTACTAATAGTATCTTCTTCTATATTATTAATAGTATTTTCTTCTATATTATTAATAGTAATTTTAGGATTTAAAATAGATATTATATCTTCCTAAGTAATTTTATTATTTATATTTTTATTCTTATTATCTTCCTTATCCTTAGCTTTAGACTTAGAGTTAATTAGAAAGATATAAATATTATAAAGATAAGTAGAGGTTCTAGAACTTTAATTATTATATAGAGATAATAAAATAATAGTAAATAAATAGGGAGAGTAAAGTACTAGAATATCCTTAAATAAATAGGGGAGAGGAGGTAATATATTATCTATATTATCTAGATATAAGGAGAAGATAGTTTATTTAGTTATAGTAGAAACTAAAGAATAAAGAAGGAAAAAGTTTAGATAAGTAGAGATAAGTAGAAGATATCCTTTTATACCTCTTCTAGGTTACTATAGTAAGTTATACTATATATCTAATCTTACTTATATTACTAGGTTTAATACGCCTCCTTTAAAGTAGATATAATAGTATTATAATACTTCCTTTAGACCCTTAGCGCTTAGAATATAGCTATATTAGGTTTCTACCCTTACCCCCCTTCTTAAGACTTTATTAAAAACTAAAAGATATAGAGGTATATAGATAGGGTTTTATACTTAATATATATATATAAAGAGAGAGGTATATATAAAATAGAGCCTACTACCTTATATTTTATACTTAAGGCTTAAGAGAGCTTTAAAAGGATTAAATACTAGCTTTATCTAAGTAGGAGAGGAAACCCTAAGGGTAATATACTTAGGTATATACCCTATTATAGAATTATAGCTATAATAGTAGGAAAGTTATTAAAGATACTCTAAATATATATCTAGAATAGTTAGTAATATAGTACTTAGCCTTAACTCTACCCCTTCTATAAATTAAAGTATAATTAGGAGTTAAGGAGATACTATAAATAGAAAGATAAAGTAAAAAGATATCTTAATTTATAATTTATACTATCCTTAGCTTACTATAAAAGAAGAGTCTATCTTATTATTAGCTCTACCTAAGCTAGATTATTATATCTTTCCTAGTTTACTTAGCTAAAATAGTTAGGGATAGAGATACTAAGGAGTCTAAAGATATTAAAGTTACTTTATGTCTATAGTATATATAAAAGCTAAGAATATAAGATAAAGAATACTAATTAGTATTAGAACTTTATCTCTCTCTTTCCCTCTCCTACTAATATACTCTATTACTCCTATCCTATTTCTTTAGTAGCTATAGATTCTATCTATAGATAATACTAGTTATAAATCTAGTATTAGAATAATTTCTTTTTCTCTAACTTAGATTTTAATAATAAAATTCACCTTAGAATACTAGAAATTAAGATATTATTAAATATTTATATTCTAATATCTTCTTATACTTAGGCTTTTAAACTAGAAAATATAGCTAAGAATATTAAAAAAGGGAGAAGATACTATATATCTAAGCTCTATATTAACTAAAATTTTAGTATAAGGGTGTTCTTATTAAGGGATTACTAGGTTACTATATAGTAGGAGGAGGAAGGGAATATATTTAAAGGCTAAGTTAGGAATAGTTAGTAATTAATAATTAGCTAGGAAGCTATATATAAATTACTATATAGCGAGGCCTATAATTTCATTGAATAAGGGGTGGGGTAATATATTACTAGTCTTTAGTATATCCTGCCAAATTATTAGTAATAGGCTGAGGTATTTAGATAGCTCCTATACCTTCTATAGTTGCTTATCTTTAAGGTCTTTAGAATGAATAAAAAGAATCTGAATTAACTTGAAAAGCTTAAGAATATTATTATTATTAAGTATTTGGTAGTGATATTTATATTAAAGATCAGCAAATTGTTGGTGCTCTCGGTAGATAATTCTATTGAACTTGTAAATACTATGTATGGCCCCACTATCTTTGTTGAAGAACTAGTAAATTGGATCTCATGGGCGGAAAACGTTAAACGCATTGACTGGGGAGCCGCCCAAAGTGACACCTCCACCAAGGATGTACACACCCCACTGCAAGCCCAACGGCAGACGTTCCATGCCTGGGAAGTTGCCTGGCACCTAGCCGCTTCCACGAGTCTGAAATCATGTCCTAAAAATCTGTTTCGTTGAAAAACCCTGATGAACCTGTGGCATGACTCCCTGCTCCACCAAAAGCCTAGACCTATAACTAGATGAGGTCTCAACAAAAGAAAAAAAACTAATGATAGCATACATGGAACCAAGAACCTGCCTTTCAAGGTATTGGAGACAATATCAGTCAGTCGATAATACTATAAAATTCGCCAACCGAGGTCTTTATCTTGCTATCTGTCGGGGAACAGGGATCTCAGCCCAAGGCAGCGCCTTGAGACGAGGCATTGAGACGAGCTCAATTTCCCCCGCTGCAATAATATTCATATCTTCATGATAAGAATCAAGAGAGTTTTACAGCAACTTCCCAACATCCTCATCATACACCTTAACATAGGCCCGAATATCATCTAGCGTTGGGGTAGTGTGTTTGGTGTAGAAGGCCTTGAATTGCGGCCAGAGGTTCACGTCAAACCAGTCTCGCTCTGCTACTTCCACTATCTCCTCAACTCTGGCTAGCGTATCTCCTAACCTCGAGAGCTTGGTATCAGGCGCTCCACCATTAGTGTTTCGTGAAAGCGTCTCCATTTGGGACTCCAGATGGTCCTGTAGGTCCACTACAGCCGCTTCCAAAGTTTCAATCTCTGCTTGGTGCTTGAGCTTACTGGTTGTATAGAAGGTAGCGGTGCCATTAACATCTCGGAACAGGTTCCCAAAAAGTTTGCCTGACCAATGCGAGCCTCGAAGTTCTTCATGCTGCCACTTGCTCCCTGGTGAACAAGTCTTTGTGACAGAAGTGATCGGGTACTCCGAGTCGTACGTCAGGTCGAAGTTACCGAGATTTAGTTTTCCCTTGACGCAGAGATCCCCAAAGAAGCTGTAGTTTTCAATACAACTCTTCTTTCCCAGCAAAATTTCTTCATCGGTATTGAGAAGTCTAATCCTAGATTGGCGCGTCTCAATCTTGCTCTTAAGCTTGCTAATTTCCCGCTGCGCCGACATGGCATTGGCTTTCACGGTTTCGGCGTTGCCTTTCTCTTCGTTCCAGGATTTGTTTAGACGATGTTGGAGACTTTTGAGCGCGTTAGAAACATGAATATCTATGTGCTTCATATCTTCAGTCTTCAGAAGTTTCATACTCGTCACCGGCAGAGGCTTCTGAGAAACGAGGTGCTGAAGAAAGCGGAAAATCTCGTTGAGAGATTGGGAAACGGCGAATGGCGACGTGGGATCGGGCGAGTTGTCCATGAAGAAGTGCTCTAGCTTGAGGTCGGTGGCTGACTCGAAGGCTTGGCGCCGGATATCATCAAGCTTTTGATTCTCCTCAAGGAACTCCACAACTCTGTCCACAGTGAAGCAGGAATGGACTACGATTAGTCCACTGGAGATGCTGGGCATAGATTGCTGGATGTATCTGAAGAAGTTCTTGAAGGATGAGCCGAAGTTACTCTCGACGCTGCGGACGTAGACTAGGGCATTTACATGACCTAGATCGGCAGCACGGGTCAGGATTCGGCTCATTATAGAGTAATCCTCTCCTTGGGTATCATTGAGACCAGGTGTATCAACAAAGCGGAACGTAACCGTAGGAGCATCAATGTCGCCCACTTCCACGACTTTGATATCGTCCTCTTCAAGTGCAATAAGATCAGGGTACTGCTCTCTTTTGATTGGCTGACCAGCGGCATCGATGAGCTGGAAAGCGCGGAGTTTGATTGGTATGTCATAATTACCGACATCCATCGTGCAGGCTCTGTTTCCATCACCAATTCCAATTGGTACATCTTTGGCTCCAGCATATCGAATAAGCTGGCGGATCAGTGTGCTTTTACCCTGTTGGCATTCGCCAGTAATGATGATGTTTACAGTGGGCGACTTGGATGTTGCTAATGGCACCGTTGTTGCCGCGTTGGCTAACGACTCCGACGAATTCGTAATCTCAACCATTGCGTTATACTTGAGACTTTTTTGGCTGCGAAATGTCGTAATCAAGAGTATTTTAAAAAATTCTCGAATATTTCAATGAAAATAGGGATGCTTGAGATTATCGAGTTTCATCTTGTTTTGCGGCACAAAATTACCTCGCGTAGCTCTTGATTTACTCAGTTTGCAAACAAGTAACTTTATATAATTTTCGATCAATGGCAACAAGACAAAAAACCCCCAGAGAATACTGTATGAGTGATTCAGTGTCTAATACATGTTGTACTTACATCATTTCAAGACTTGTGCGAAACGCCTTGGTTCAAACTTTGAGCTTCGAAGTATAATCGGCCTTGATATTGAGAACCTAGACGCCGAGGCTACATTCCTAAACTCATAAAATAACCTCCTTAAAAGTTATCATTTTGTGAAAATAGGTTACAGGAGCCATGGATCTGGGCTCCTCTACTTTCAATGTGGCATTCATATGACTTGAGGTAATATTAGATGCTTCAATGGGTATTTGAGAGATATATTTGGATTGTAATTTTATCGCCATGGCAATATCATTCTGGTCAGACTGATTCGGCTCTACGTCTTCTGACATTTAAGAATAACCTTTTGGCCAAGTTACCTGGAATTTAGATTTGCGCTGTTAATTTACCGCTTACAGCAATATCATTCCAAGCAAGTAAAGGAAACAAGTTACTCTATGGCCTTGGCTGAAAATAACTTTTCGAGAAACCTACCCAGGATTTGGGTTTCGCAAATGATTTCGTCCAAAGGCAACATGGTTCTGGGATGCCAGACCGCTCGGGTCTCGATCCTCTCTCTGACCGTTGAGGCAGCCACTTTCAAAGCCGGCCTAATCATGATTGTAACGCTCAAAGCCACCCTCAAGTACGTAATTCTACTGCCATGGCATAATGCTACGTTCCAGGCCCTATGTGGCAATTGAAATATCTCTCTGAGGATTACAGGTCATGGCGTGAAGCTTTGGGTGGCGTCATATCCCTATGTCATTGGAAACGTTATTGGAATAAGAAGTACGAAGTCTACTTTTGGATGGATTCGAGACCCTTCATCGCAAGTCATTAGATAGATATGGCTGGATCTCTGAAAGTGTAAAGTGTCTTAGGAATGTTATCGTGGACCTACCTTGTAGAGACTAGTGGGTGGGAGGCCACAATTTGCGCTTTGCTTGAACTCGACCGCCTCTAATTTAAAGCATCATGCCTTGGAGCGACATTAATTTGCCCCAATCCACGGTTAACTACGAGCACTCTCCTGAAGACTCTTGCAATCAAGGGATTTCAAGTGAAAAAAGTATCCTACAATATGGCGAACAATCTTTTCCATCATGAGCTACCTGATAACCAAACTGAAACTCGTGTTAAGGCAAATGGAGACGCTACAAATACACGTCGATGGAAATGGTCGGCCAATGTGGTCCTCATAGGCACATCTCAGAGCGGGAAAAGCACTCTGATTAACAGATTCATGACCCTTGCCGTCGGGCCGCATCCTCTTCCAGACCCAGCCAGGATTGGCGGTGGCGGGCTCTCGTGCACCACAGATCCTTTCCTTTATGAATTGGATGTACCCATGACTGAATTCATCCTTGTGGATGGCCTAAAGGATAGCCTGGTCGACTCACCAGATGATGAACGACACATCTTCGATCTTGGTCTATGGAAACGGAAAGATCTGCAAGTGCGAGCACGCAATTCCAATGCAGACATCGTCCGTCTCCGTTTGCTCGATACTCCTGGCCTTGATGATAGTGAACCAAAAAAGAATGCGAAGAATATGGAGAAAGTCCTCCAAGCGTTGAACTCCTACGCCCAGTCAACTGAGCTTGAAAAGCGCCACATTAGCGCTGTCATCTTTGTTGTCAAAACTGGCAACCCCTTCAATGACAGTTTACAGAAGTGGTATCATCATTATCAACGCTGCATGCCCAATCTTTTCGGCAGCCTCGCTGTTGTCAACACTTGTTTCAGATTCAAGGACTGGAAAACCGAATACAAACAGATGGCAATAAACGCCATTACATTTGGCGCGGCAGGATCAGATATTTCATCGCGTGACAAGAAGATGAAACGGCGCCGCGAAGCTTGGGCCGAAACATTCAAGTCCGATCCTACGCACTTTTTTATTGACAGCAAACCAAGTCGCGACAGCCCTTTCCAGGAATATGTGTCAGTGAACACTATCTACGACATTCTTCTCTACCTGAGAAGCCAAGGCAAGATGCCGATTGAAAATGTCCGTCTGGTGAAACTTCCTCAAATGGCCGCTATTGATAAGAAAGTGGTAGAGTATCTTGCCAAGATACAGAATTATTGGGAAAAGGAGAGAGGGGACCTCTTTAAGTCCCTATCGAATCAGGATAGAAGCGATGCCAGGCACCGGAAGAGCATTATAGAGTGGGAAAACGATATAAAAAAACTTGATGAAAACTTGCGTATCTGGGATTCGGATGTCGAGTTCGATCTCAACACGTACAACCCAACCGCGGTCGTAAGCACGCCAGCCAAGATATGGAAGTTTCTCACTTTCTCTGGTCATGAAAGTACCGTTGAAATTAGAGAGCAGATTTTTCCATTTTGGGTGGATGCTCCTAACAATAGCGACACAACATGGGTGTCAAAACGAGATGCTTCGCAACCGGGTGAGGCTTGGAAAGGACAGTATAAGTCCAAATGGCAAAAGACTCCGAGGGCGTCTCTTCGCTCGTACACGACAAACCGAAAGAAATACGCCCAAGAAATCAAAGATGCCATGAGTCGCAGAATTGAGCTGAACAATGGAATCAACGAGACCCGGGATATCATCAAAGCCTCAAGAGCACTCTCATCCCAGTCTCAGGGTGGGACTGAGGAGAACCCACGTGTTACACAACTTACCGAGTTGCTCGCCCAATCCGAAAGGCTTATTCGACTACTCCAGGAAGAGGAAGTACCAATGACCCGGGGATTTTCTCAGTCCGACATAAGGCGATACGGTAAAAGTATTGATAAGATTTGCTATAGTGATGTTCTGGAATTAATCGAGGAGCATCAGATTGATCTCAAGCCTGCATTTGATTATGCAGTTTCGTGCATCAAGAGGAGTTCAACCTAGGACGCATACAGAAGTAGAGGGTTCAGTGTATTGTCTGGCTACTGTTTTTTTTTCTTTCATAGGAATCAATCAAGGTAATTTCAATATAATAATAGGTAACATGTCTTGCCTCGTGCATTTTATCACAAGCCCGTAACGTAAACCGGTAAGATACTAATGCACAATCATTCCTCAAGTGCCATTTCCCCCAACTCTCCGATCTCTTTCAACTCACACAGTAGCGTGGGATATGCTTCTTCTCCATCGCCTCTTGGCGCTGCTCGAGTCAGGGATGCGAAAGCGCCGACCGGGAGCCCATCATCCTGGTTTAAATAATCTTTCGCCACCTGAGCTGCCTTGTGATCCAAAATTGCGTTTTGCAATTCCTTGAATACCGCATGGCTGGTATCAAATACTTCCTGTTCGAATATGTTAACTACTCTGGAAAACTTCAAGATCTCCTCCCTGATGTCCTCGCTCCCTGGCCGGATGGTCGATACAGGCCAGGATAAGGCACTCGATTCAAACTTTTCAAGTTTCTTCATCAGCTCGCCCAAGCTATTTGAACCTGGTTTTCCCAGTTGAGATTCGGCCCGAGCAGACGCCCGCTGCCAATGATGAAGCATCTCAATTGCTGACTTCAGTTTCGCCGCTCCTAGGGGCGGATGTTTCAATTGAGTCATGATGACGCTGACTCCTTGCGCTATGCTTAATTGCATAGGCAAGGTCTTATATGATTCTTTGGATTTATCCATCCTCGCCTTTGTTTCATTGAGTTCTCTTCGTAAAACTGATTTGAACGATTGTTTTGGAAGTTTGTTCAGTGGCCACACTGTCCAGGGGATCTTTGCTTTAAGTTGGTAGCCATAGGCTGCTGAGAGGGGACTGTCCACAGTGAAGAACTTGATCAATTCCTGGGATTTGCCTAGCGAAATCGAATGATGCGATTTCCGCACAACTTCCAAATCACCAACCAGGGTTTTGATATTTGAACCCTTCTCAATGATTTGGGATTCGATACCTAATATTTGCATCGTTGCCCTCGAAATCCTGTCCAGATTTTCTTGCAATCGTCTCTTTTCAGGTGTTAGGTGAGAGTTCAGTGCCGTGATGTCACTCTCGTGCTTGTCCCTCTTCTTAGCAAAGAGGGTGACTCGGCCAAATGCCTTGAGGAGCCAGTGAGGTTGTAGCACAACCCGATAAAACGTCGTTTCACGGTGTTCGTCAACCCAGTCTCCATCTCCATCTTGGTCCTTGTCGATGTATGAGATAGGTACTGTGGTATGAAAGCTGAAATATCGATGGCCGCCACCCGCGATATTTGTCTCTGTCCAACCTTCTTCATATGCACCATCAATCTGGCTCAATGTGTCACAGTCGATCTCTTCGATCTTTTTTTCTAAATCTTTCACCAGCGTCTCACTGCGTTCTACTCTGGAGGTATAGTCGGTGATGTCGTTTTCTAATGCCACGATCTTCCTGCGCAACTCATCAATCTCCGTACACATTTCATCCTTTGCGCATTCCAGCGCGTGAATTAATGTTGCGTCATTACACTCATGCTCAGGAGACTTGGCATAGCGCAGATCTGAAAATTTTACTGGAGATCCAACCGCTAGAGAATTGAATAGCGAGGACAGAGAGTGGTTCGCGAAATAAAGATCAAGAACTTCCTCTTGAGGGGTGTTATCGACGAAGTGGTGAATAGCGCCGGGAGGCCCAAACCCGTCGAAATTGTCCTGCCTAGCTTTGCACACGCCATCTCCACGATCATCTACATCAATGTTGGTATGTATGATGTGGTATTGCATATTCCATGCTGTTGACGGGACTGAGAAGCCTAATAAAGAAACCATCCTTTGCACAAGGTCCTGAAAGTCGCCTCCATAATTCGTGTCGCGCCGAACAACAATACATATGGCATGTATGTCCTCAACCTCTTGAAGAGTAAGGAGGATCCTGAGCTTATGGCGCTCATCCATCACTCGCATCCCCGAGTTTGAAGATTTTGCGTTTCCAGAGTCACTTAGGCCAGGGGTGTCGATGAGTCGCAGTGGCAGGCACTCTCCAGAATCCTGGACATCGTGGCCAAACTGATATTCTTCGAGATCATTGAACTCGAGGTCCTGGCCAGGGATAACATAATCGCCATTTCTCCAGCACTCATCTTCAGGGCCATCAATTTGGCGCAGCCGGTGGATTTTCAGGGGAACGTCAACATCGTATATAGAGCAGGTCTGGGTCTGAGAGAAGTTTCCCTGGCCAATTTCTACTCTTCTGGCTTTCTCATTCTCACCAGCATATCGTAAGATTTGCTGGATCAAGGAACTCTTGCCATTTTGCGTCATGCCGATAAAAACAATGTTTCTTCTGGACGACATATTTCATAGAATACTTCTGTTCTCAAATATTATCCAAGTTCATTGAGGTACAACTATGGTAATAGGAACCAAGAGTCCGTATTTTGGCAAGCTATAAGTGTTTTCCGGCACAGTTCATTACGAGACTCAACGAGGACAATGATTGGTAGGGTTGCCACCGCCACCGCCAAACTGTAAAACGGTACTGATGGATGAGTTGTGGCTATTGACTCTAAGATATGTAAATATAAATCGCAGCCTCGTTTGCTAGAAGCCCAAGTCAAAGTTAGCGTATGGGGCGAGCGATAAGTATCCGCCCCACTTGAGATTTGATTCAGTGGTCACCTGGTGTAAAGCTTATGTTGGCGCTACTTGGGATCTGGAATGCTCCAGTATCTGCATCTAAGGATAACGCCACAGGAAAATTTGTACCTATTGCTCAGCTTGTTTTCGAGTTTACATCAGCGGCTAAATCGTTCCAACGTGTGTCTTTGTAGCCAGGTTTTAGTTTAAACAAATTTACCTTTTCGTCCCTAAAAATAGATAGATAGCCCAGTCTCAAATGGCTTCCACTGCTACTTCGCTGAATCACTCGTACTTAGGGTCGGGTCTGATATACACTGCTATATGCAGCTCACATTCCCGACATAACTCACGTCACGGGAGAATCACGTCACGGGAGAATGGGCCATAATTCTGCGCCAGTTGAAGTGCTGCAACAGCTGATATACATCTCATGTTGGCTAGAAAGCTGTCCTTGAGAAGCCTGAGGGCGATGCCAAAGCTCGCGTTAAAAATAACGAAAAGCTTGAATATTTCGCATCTATTATGCGTAATGCCGCGTTTTCATCAGAAAGCGGCAGGTAGGGAGGGATTTTGCTGATTTTGGATTCATTGCATGATGATCACTCTCTGCTCAGATGCCACTCGTTTGTTCGGCCCTGTCCGCAGCCGCCGCTCCGGCCTATCCTCACCCAGATCTTCCTCGTTCGCTGGTTGACTTCCACCGCTTGATTGCGTAATTTCGCGGCCATTATCGCTGAATCGTAGGTCGTTGAATCTGTATTTTGTACGTATTGCTTCTTGGCCCTCTAGATGCTTAAAAATGGCAATGATAGCGTCCTCGGTCGCAACTTTTTCAAAAGGTGGCGGCCAATGAGAGCGCAATCACTTATTAGCATGTCCAAGGATGGGTTGATCCCAGAACATGGCCTCGCATGTGCTAAATATACTCTCGTAATCGGGACACATCACCGGGAAAATATGTGGCTTCAATACAGGACCCAATTTGAGGACTCGAGACCCAAAACTTCGTTCTTAACATGCCAGCCCAAAGGCGCATAATTCCTTCTTCGGGATATATTTTTATATTGTCTTTAAGCGAGCCTATGACCGCTTAGTTCTGTAGCCTCTTCACACTCTACGCGCGCTGGCTAGGTAGCGGGACCATTTCTCAAGAAGAGCCCTAGAGCATTGCCTGTCCTACTCATACACCAATTACTCTTGCGAGTCAGCTGTAGATTTTTGTATATTATTTAAAACTATACGAAAGGGAAGAAATACTGAAGCAACTGAGAGAAATGCTGTGAAATTGAGCCAATATTTTATGCTTTTGTGGCGAGTAAGTATCATTCCAGTGGATGGTTAGCTCTCTTTTTGGGGTTTGGAGTCCAATAGGTCCCATTGTGGCACAGAAGTTTCAGCTATTTCAGTATACTTCGAAGTTCAGCATTCGGGATTCGGCACATGGATTAAGTTTCAAATTTTGTAATCATGAAATAATAAGTAATAATTGTATAAAGCTGTAAGAAGCTATTGAGCTTCTTTCACTCTGAGTATCAACGTTTATTGCCACTGTGTTCACTTGGCTAATAGCAGATATCATCATGAAGTCAGCATTGGCAAGATGGAAACAATAAGATAAGTATATAAGCATGAATGGTTCTGTTGGAGAAACCATCTGTGATGAAAGAGAATTCAGATAATGGCAGAACTTACATAAACCAACTTCGCAACCATCAATCTGACCAATATTTTCTCTAAAATTTATCCAATCTCCAGTATATTTAATCTTAAATTCTATTCTACGTCTAGATATTTTACTAAATACTCTTCTTAGCAGGGTTTAAAATCATGGATCCCTGTCCTGAAAACCCCCATGGTTCATGTTCTGGAAACCCTTCTGATCCTAATGAGGATTATAACATTCATACACTATTGACCCTCGGTATGTTTCATACCATCATGTTGGCTTGCGCTGACCCTTTACGATGCCAGATGGTGGAGGAGTCAAAGGCTATTCCAGCCTCCTGATTCTAAGGACTCTTATGAGTTTAGTAGCCAGAGTTGAGGCCGGCGTCCGAAACGGAAATTCCGATGATGAAATGCCGGACAATGCTTCTTATCCATGGTTTGAGGAAGAAGACGGTGTTGATCCCGGACTCCAGTGGTCAAATTGGTGTCCCCCTTGTTATTACTTCGAGTACATTGCCGGAACTAGTACGGGAGCGTAAGTAATTCGTCTGTTAGTTCCATTTTTCCTTCTAGTTCTTGGCTAAAGTCATTTCTCAGGCTATCAGCAATTATGCTGGGGCGGCTTCGCAATTCTGTTAACGATGTACTGCGAGAATATACCACATTTGGCAATGAGGTTTTCGGAAAGCCTCGATGGTTCCACCAGCAAAATATTATACTACTTCCTCGCCAAAAATATTGTACTCGAGCGGTGGAAGCAACTTTAAGAAACATCATAGGCCAGGAGAATGGACGAGAGAGACGATTCCCATCAAATGAAACACAATGCAAAACGTAAGCAGCTACCATATTTGTATATTAACACTTGAATTAATATGTGCATCTATAGAATGGCAGTTGCATATGCTGAAGATCAAGGACAAGCTATTCAAGAGCACTACCTTTTTAGAACTTACGATCATTACCAAAACCAGTGGGCAAGTCCGGTCATGAATCCGGGCCGTGCCAACAATCTCCCAATTTGGAAAGTTGCGCGGGCAACATCGGCAGCGCCCCTTTATTTCGAAGCTTTGGTGACGGATCCCGGAACAGAAATACAAGGGAGGAAGAAATTTCTTGATGGAGGTTTAGGTGCTAACAACCCCACCTTCATCGCTCTCCGTGAGGTTTTGCAAATCACCAATCCCGCCAACCCTCATCAAGCTAAATGTTTACTGGTCAGTATTGGAACAGGTCTGGCGAGACCGCCAAACCCAAACATTGCATCCCCCCACCCCGACGAAGCGATGGAACCGGAGCAATTAAGCACATGTTCATGGCTGACAGGCAAACTTTTCAAATATGGCTTCGCTATTCACCGTGCGGTAGGGAATCTGCTGTGGTTAAGAAGTGTTTTTCTCAAATATGCCCTCAATTCGCAGAGGATACATTTGAACGAAGTCCTCTTTGCGACTGAGGCAGCCGGTATCCCATATTATCGGCTGAACGTTGATGATGGCGTCAATAACATTGCGCTCGACACTTGGGAACCTGCTGATGGAGGTGGAACGACTCTACAGACAATCCGTCGTCATACACTTGTCTACCTCAACAAGCCGGAAGTTAGGCAGAAGCTCTTGAATTGTGCTTATAGCCTAGTGAAGCTGAGAGATAATCACTGTCGCAGGGCAGATTGGCCCCAGTTTGGGGACGGCTTCCTTAATAGGTGGGAACGGGGCCTGGGCTGGCTCAATAGAAGATTCGATTGGTACTAGTAAGAATAAATTGGCTTGGTTGAAGTAGGCGAGCTGTTCAGATAGACAGAAAACAAAGGTGGCTTGCTTAGCGATTGCAATAATAGTCCGTTTTGCTAGGCCAGCCTCCTCATAGCAATAGATGCAGATTTAGTTAGCATTTAGCTTCGGAGGGTCGAATGTACATGACCGCTGTCTTTTTTGTTGTTAGACAGGTTGAAGAGCGTATACCAATCATAGTACGAGAAGCTGTGGAGCCCGACTCCATGACCGTTAGTCATAACCGGTGTGCCAAAGAACAACTTCTTCAAAGCACAGCTGCCAGTACTTATCATCTTCCAAAAGACCAAGTAACTGGCATGCAGCTTTGAACGTTGGCTGTACAACGTTGTTCGCCGTCCGCAAAGCCTCAAAACTAACTGGCCCAGGTATTCGAGTAAGCAAAAATCGTAAATAGTACTTCTCACCAGTAGATGGATGTACGAAATAGATTCTGCCAATAGCAAACCCATTTTGACGAATTCATCGCTTCCAAGCGTAGTTACGCTGATCCCAGGTACACTTGCCTGGGAAATCCTGATACAACACTGTATGAAGTTCAGAGTTATCCCGATTGAACTCAAAGAAGGCTTCTAGTTTCGATTTATGCTGGGCCAACCTTCGCTCCAGCCTTGTACGATTATCGTTGACCTGGAAGACAATAGTATTTTCACCGGGTAGATGAACTGCAAGGGGCTCAACAGGTGGAAACTGGTCGTTTGTACGAAGCTCGATCAACCTCCAGGCAGCCTCTACAGGGCTAATATATCGACTCTCGATGTACTCGGCAATCTCGTTACAATCCTCCAGTAGCGTGGCCGGGAAACTGAGGGCCCAATCATAGAGATAGATCGCAAGAATGCTATTATAGCCTCATTGGAGGCAAACAACCGCAAGTTACATGAAGAACTCGATTCTCATCGCCCTCACGAGCGCCACAAAGTTCGAAACGATCCCAATAGGCGTTACACGACGATGCCAACGATTGCCAAAGTGTGGTAAGAGCCACAGGTAGCTTCCACAGCCCTCGAGGAGCTTTACGGGCTACATACACAATAAAAAGCTGCGAAAATTGCTGCATTGGAAGGGAAGGGATTCGATGAGGCTCTACAGTAAATTTCATATTAATTAAATATTGTGGACCTCTGTATAAGGCGGCTTGGAGAGCGTTACTATACTTACCGCCCTGCGTATTTATATTAGCTCCCTTGTTTAAGAGGAGTCTGATAATCTCTTAATAGCCTTCTAATAAGGCGGCTTAGAGAGTATTACTAAAGTAGCTACCCTGTATATTTATATTAGCCCCCTGGGTAATAAGACTTTATACAGACTCTATAAGCCTATTAAAGCAGATATAGTAAAGCTGAGAACCTTATAGTAGGCCTGGATTATCAGCCTAAGCTCTATTAGGTTAATATAAATAAGCCTATTACTAGAAAGTCTCTTTATTTTTAAGGAATTTAACTATTACTTAAACTATATCTTTTAATACCTAAGTTAAGATAGTATAATATATCTAGATTTTAGCTATATATCTTACTATTAGAAAATACTATTTAATTACCTAATAGCTATTTTTAATATTTATAAAATATATTAGATATATACTTATAATAGAAATACTTATATTTATAATATTAAACTTATTCTCTCTAAATAGATACTTTTTAATAGAAAAGTAAGTAAGATATAGTTTATTATTAGTAATCTAAACTACTATTACTAAGCTAGGGTAGTAATTTAATATATTAGTATTATAATATAGTTAATACTTAATATTAAACTCTAGTAGTTTATTTTTAATCTATATAGTTATTACTTTCTTAGCCTCTACTAGTATAAGTAATTACTCTATATATATAAGAAATTATAGAAGCTATATTATATTAGTCTTAAGTTCTATTAGTATACTTTTAATTATATATCTATATATAGCTATTAGGTCTAGTAGTAAAGATATAAAAGTATTTATAATTACTATCTTATAATAATACTAAGTTAGACTATCTAATTAATAGAATATCTATCTAAATCTAGATATATTATTAGAAAGATACTAATATATTAATTAAAGTAGTACTATCTTATATACTATTAGCTCTATCTCTAACCTTTCTCTATATCTTATTATAGATTTCTAGAGATAAGCTTTTATTCTAAAAATTATACTATTCTAAAAGCTATATTATAATATATAATTAGATATTAGTATTAATAGATTACTTATTAAGTACTAAACTATTCTCTATATCTATTAAGGAGAATATATTACTTTAAAATTTACTTTTAGACTAATTAGTATAAATAATTTAAATATAGTTAAAGCTTTATCTAGATACTATATTCTTAATCTAGTAGAGAAGCTTATTTCTTAATATTAATTTATCTAAGATATTTAGAATAATTATAATCTACTTTTAAGCTATAAGTATTATAAATAAAGTATCTAAAAGTACTTTTATTAAAAGCTAATTATAGTTATTTTAATATACTTAGAATAAGATATTAAGAATATATGGAAAATTAGCTCTCTCTTAATAAAGCTAGAAGATAAATAACTATAATATACTATCTATAGTTTTTTTTATCTTATTACTAAAGTTAAAGAAGAAACTAAGAATAAAATAGTTATTTCTCTTTATAAAATAATCTAGTATAATTATACTAAGAATAATTTTACTATATTCTATAAGCCTATATAGCTATAAATATTAGTATAACCCTAAGTATTAATCCTAGAAAACTAGATATTCTAAAAGCTATATATCTATTCCCTTATAGTAAAACTTCCTTATATAGTTAGTATTTATAAATAGATCAGAGGGGTAAAACTATTACTTAATCTTATTAGTATATTAGTTAGTACTTATTACTATAGTAATCTACTATAGCTTATTAATTTTATATTTAACTATACTAAGTTAGATAGAATAAATATAAAGAATTTATAAACTAACTAGTATAGAGAGCTTTAGAAATTAGTTTTTCTATCTTAACCTTATTTAGCAGAATCTATTATAGAAGGTTCTATATATATACTGCTACTATTATAGTAGAGAACCCCTACTACTCCTTATTTTTATATAAGTTAGAATAGTTATATATACTATAGATTACCAGATATAGAAAGTAGTTTATCAGACTAGCTATCTATTATATTATAAACAGGGGCTATATAGAGCTCCTTATAAAAGAACTATAAATAGCTAGTAGATAGAGAGAACTTAAGTCTTAAGAATTATATTATCTTATATATAAATAAAGATATTATAAATCTAGATTTTAATTATAAGCTATTTAATTATAATTACTTTATAGCTAATAACTAAGAACTTATTTATAATATCTAAACTAGTTATAACTAGTTCTAAATATAATAAATAGTAGTAATTCTCTATTATTATAAAATCTTAAATATTTAATTTAATAATTTAAAAAAGAATAATAAAAAAAATACCTAGTTAGATATTAGCTAGAGCTAGTTTAAAAAATAATTATCCTAATATATCTAATATTAAATATATATACTAAATTACTAACTTTCTTAAAAATAATCTAAACTTTATATTAAAAGATAAATTATTATAAATAATAATTATAATTTAATTAGTTAAAATATTTATTAAATAAATTAATTCTAAATATTTATTTTTTTAATTATTAAAAGAATAGAATATTAAAGTTTTAATCTATTAGAACTTAATTAATTAATATATAGTTAGAACTATTTAGAACTCTATAAAATATATTATTTTAAAAGTTTAGAAATTAGAAATTATATTAATAAATAAATTAATTTTATTATATTTAGAAAATTTAGAAACTAAATTAATAGAAAATAAGATCTTAAGAGAATAAATAGATATAAATATAAATAAAGATTTTAAAAATATCTCTATTATCTCTTTAATTATATAAAGATAGAGAACTCTAATTAAAATATAGCTAGATCTAGAATATTTTATATAATTATAAAAGTAATTTCTACTAATTAGATCTATTTCTAAATATTTCTAGATATATATACTAGAAAGAGAAAAACTAGATAGTTCTAAGTTATTACTAAATAATAACTAAATATAAAAATAAGAATCTCTCTTTTTAAATTCTATAATTAGTTCTAATAAGAGTTTAGATTTAATAGAAATAATATAAAGAAAAAAATTTTTAATCTAATATTCTATTTTAATAATATCTAAAGACTTATTATTAAAAAAAGATAAGAAATTACTTTTCTTAGAGCTAAAGTTTATTTTAAAAATAATTAATTTAGAAATAATTATAAAGAAAATTAGAAATAATTATATTATTTTAATAAATAAAATAATTAAGAGCTTCTAGAGGAATTTAGATATTTTTATAAAGATAAGATTAATAATTATTATTTAATTTAAATAGATATTTATTTAATTAATTATATTAAATAGTAATTAAACTATATTAATAGTATTTATTTTTAGAAATAATTTAATTTAGCTAAAAAAACTAATATTTATATTATTAAAGAATCTAATTTAATTTAAAAATAATAAAACTAATTATAGATAGATTAAAACTAAGTAAATCTAAAATAATTAAAAAAAAAAAAACTTTAATTATTATTTTTTAAATTATTAATTTAGATATAAAAATAATTACTTTAATAGTACTAGAAATAAATATAAACTTAATTTAATTAAAGAATATTATATTTATAAAGTAAAATAATTCTATTTAGAATATATTTAATATATAAAAATATAACTAAATAATAATTATCTAATTAATATAAAACTAAAAATAGTTAAATTTAAATCTAAACTAGTAAAAAGTAATTAGAATTCTATAGAATATATATATATCTAAATAGAAATTAATTAATATTAATATTTTCTAACTAAATATAAATAAAAAGCTAATTAATAATAATAAAGTTTTTATAGTTAAAATCTAAATTAGATTTATTAATATAACTCTATAGCTAAATATAATATAAAATATAA